CGACCGGCTTGAAGGGGCCTCGGGGACCACGGGCTCCCGGGAGGGTATGGGAAGAGTCGTCAGTGTGCTTTGAGGGGGATGTGTGAACGGGGCAGGCCAGGACCCAACGTGCTTTGAGGGGGACGCGGGCCGGGGCAGGCCAGGGCATCCACCTGGGCCTGGGGCAGCTTGCTGGGGGCAGAGGCTGGCTGCGTGACCTCGGGCAGGGAGTCACCCCTTTCCCCTCCCGCCACCCCCATTCAAGCCAGCGAGGGATTCGGGATGGAGCTGGCGGGTCCCTGGGGCTGGGTGTTGCCGGCACTGGCCTCCCTGGGGGCTTCCTGGCGCCAGCCCAGCCGGCGGGCGAGCTCTCCCGAGGTGCGAACAGGGACACAGAGCAGCTGGGCCCGCAGGAAGCTCGGGCGGGGGCAGGATGGGGACAGGATGGGGAAAGGGGCCATCCCTGTGGGGGCTGGGACCAAAGGCCTGGAGTTTCCGGCGGGCAGGAGGCCCAGGCTCTGCTCGGGGCAGCAGGGTCAGGGCGGAGGGAAGTGACAACCAGGATTCCAGAGTCTGCCCTGGCCAGGGAAGGGCCCAGAGGCGGGAGGCCGGCCGGCCGGGTCACTCGGACCTCGCAGGCCCCGCCTGGACGCTGGGTTCTGACCCCCGTGGGGTCCCCTCCCTGCCCGGTTCTGCCCATTTGCTTTGAAGAAAGCATGTTGGGGGTGTTTGGGATGGACTTCCCTCCCTGGCAGGGCGTTCAAAGGCATGGACAGGCTGGGCACAGTGGCTCACGCCTATAATCCCAGCACTTGGGAAGCCGAGGCGGGAGGATCACTTGAGATCAGGAGTTTGAGACCAGCCTGGAGAAACCCCGTCTCTACTAAAAATATAAAATTAGCTGGGCGCGGTGGCTCAAGCCTGTAATCCCAGCACTTTGGGAGGCCGAGACGGGCGGATCACGAGGTCAGGAGATCGAGACCACGGTGAAACCCCGTCTCTACTAAAAAAAAATACAAAAAACTAGCCGGACGCGGTGGCGGGCGCCTGTAGTCCCAGCTACTCGGGAGGCTGAGGCAGGAGAATGGCGTGAACCCGGGAGGCGGAGCTTGCAGTGAGTTGAGATCCGGCCACGTCACTCCAGCCTGGGCCACACAGCGAGACTCTGTCTCAAAAAAAAAAAAAAAGAAAAGAAAAACGAAAAACGGACAGGTATGGACAGGCATGGACAGGGTGGGGCAGTTCTGGTGGGTTTGGGGCCTTGGAATGAGCTGAGTGTTACCGACTCCCTGGGCCTCAGTTTCCTCACCTGTGGACCAGGAAGGCAAAAATCCCACAGTATGTCTTTTTTTTTTTCTTTTTTTGAGATGGAGTCTTGCTCTGTCACTAAGGCTGGAGTGCAGTGGCGTGATCACGGCTCACTGCAACCTCCGCCTCCTGGATTCAAGCGATTCTCCTTCCTCAGCCTCCCAGGTAGCTGGGACTACAGGCGCCCACCACCACCCCTGGCTAATTTTGCATTTTTAGTAGAAACAGGGTTTCTCCATGTTGGTCAGGCTGGTCTCGAACTCCCGACCTCAGGTGATCTGCCCGCCTCGGCCTCCCAAAGTGCTGGGATTATAGGCATGAGCCACCGCAACCGGCCCCACTGTGCATCTTAATTCCAGCAAACATTAAGCACCAGCTGTGTCCCTGGGCTGAACAGGATGTTCAGACAGGTAGGGCTGAGACGGGCCTGGCCCTGTTTGCAGAGAGGTGGACGGTCAGACACCTGGGCGAATGCAGTGGGAGTTACTGGCCGTGGTGGCTGGGCACATTGGTATTCTTTTCACGCAGCCCTAGTGGGCACAGGCTCAGGCCCCTCGATGGAGGATGAAGACCTGGCTTGAGGCCTAGTTTGCTTTCAGAGGCCTCGGCTTCACCCCTCCCCTGGGAAACCCGCTTCTCAGGTGCTGAAACTGAGCTGCTCTGGGTCTCCACTACCTTCTGCCAGCTCGGGCTCTGCCCAGACACCTCCTACAGGAAGCCCTCCAGGCTGACTGTGGGCTGGACCCCTCTTCTTGTGGCAGGGGGACACGGGTCTGGCTCTGTGTCCAGCCCGCCAGCCTGTGCCCACCTTGTTAGACCTATGGACTCAGCCTCCGTCTGCCCTGTCCTGGGGCTGGGGCTGAGCTGCCGTGAGTGCCGCCCGCCCTTGCCAAAGCCCGGGGCTGGGATTTCATATCCCAGTTTTGTTTTCCTGGATCTATTTGTCCCGTTATCTTCTAACACTTGGAAAGTGACATGGGTTTTTCCAGTTTCCCGGTGAGATAAAGTTTCCTGTTAAAATACACAAATTTGAGCGGGAAAGGAGAGTTCGTTTGATACAGATAGTGACATAAACAGCACAGGCCAGGGGTCAGGGGACACAAGGAGCCAGCCCTGGTTTGAATCCCGCCTCTGCTACCTGCTGGCTGTGAGGCTTTTGCACTCCGTGCCTCAGTTTCCCCCACCGTGAACACCATGGGATTGCCTGGGAGCTTTGAATTCAGAGAGCTGGGCCGGGCGCGGTGGCTACGCCTGTAATCCCAGCACTTTGGGAGGACGAGACGGGCAGATCACCTGAGGTCAGGAGTTCAAGACCAGCCTGGCCAACATGGTGAAACCCCATCTCTACTAAAAATGCAAAAGATTAGCCGGGTGTAGTGGTGCATGCCTGTCATCCCAGCTACTCGGGAGGCTGAGGCAGGAGAATCCCTTAAACCCGGGAGGTGGAGGTTGCAGTGAGCCAAGATGAAGCCATTGCACTCCAGCCTGGGCAACAAGAGTGAGAATCTGTCTCAAAAAAAGAAATTTGGGAGCTGTCGTACAAAAGGTGCCCAGAGCCCTGTGGGGATATAGGAGTCACCCTCACGCATACCCTCTCCCCAGGTTGGAGAAGGAAATTGAGGTGCTGGAGCATGGAGACTCTACCCCAGCCGCGGCCAAGGAGAACGCGGTGGCCCCGAGCCCGGTCCGGGCGCCGGCCCCGAGTCCAGCCAAGGAGGAGCGCAAGACAGAGGTGGTGATGAATTCACAGCAGGTAAGGGGGTGACCGGGGGTCAGATCCCCAGGTCCCCACTCCCGCTGGCCCCAGAGCGAGACCCCAGCCCTTCCATGTCAGCGCGGCTGAGGGGACAGGCACAGACTGGAGCAAGGCCCTCGATTTCAAGCTCACCGGAGCCACTTCCCAGCTGTGTGAGCCGGGACACGTGGTTTCGCCTCGCTGGGCCTCGGTTTCCCCATCTGTAAGACGGGGGAGTAATGGGAGCAGCCACCACTGGGGGCATCGGAGGACTCAGGGAATGGCAGGAGACCCGCCTGGGGGCATTGGAGGGCTCGGGGAACAGCAGGAGACCCGGTGCTGGTGGGTGCTGGTGGGTGCTGGTGGT